GGGACGGACGACGCGGGACGACGAGGGACAGACGACGCGGGTAGACCGGGTCGACGAGGGACGGACGACGCGGGACGCCGAGGGACGACGAGGGACGGACGACGCGGGACGACGAGGGACGACGCGGAAAGGACGGCGCGGGACGACAGGGACGGACGACGCGGGACGACAGGGACAGACGACGCGGGTAGACCGGGTCGACGAGGGACGACGAGGGACGACGCGGAACGGACGACGAGAGATGACACAGGTTGATGGGAGACGACGGGGGATGACGGGGAACGACGGGGGACGAGTGAAGAACGACGAGAGAAGAACAATTATAATTATTCAGAAACAAAAACAATTATGATGATTCAGAAACACAAACAATTATAATTATTCAGAAACGCAAACAATTATAATTGTGGTCGTTGTTGAGCTCAAGATACTGTCATCTAATTTTTAAGACAAAAATGAACCTCCTAACATTCGTTCTTTTTACGTTATAGTTCATTTTAGCCAGAATCGTGCGTTCTCGGAAATAACCATGAGTTGTGTCCAACACTCTTCCATTAAAAAGCGATATGAAATTTAAAACTACTACATGTTACTTTTTGGTTAAGTCGCTTGTGCCCCTGATGTACCCGAATTCACCTACAAGCGTGAAATTCAGTCTCGTTATCACATAGGCTAAGAAGCTCTACAATTCCTATATTATCCATCGAGATAATACCGATCAATCGGTTCTCCATACACTACTGTTTTACCATCCGCGCAGCACAGAGTTCTGTTAAATTGATTACCGACTGATTACAATTCCAATCACTTTCATTGCAAAGTTCAGAAATTCAGTCCAGCATTATTTTTAATTCTAGATTAACAATGAGCGATATGTATCAATGAATACAGACAATGATATTCTTTTATGTGAAAGAAATTTTATGATTATGAAACTATTCAATATATGTGAAGTGTATTCCATATTTAAATATATAATTTCACTGAAGTTCTGACTTTTTTTTAAATAAAACAAAAATGTTTTTTTAGATGTCGATACACGTGATTAAGAGGATAATTTTTTCGACGACATTGTCCTTAAACACTGTCCTGAAAAAATGTATGTAGGTCCCCGAGCGAGCAAATTGAGCAATTCCGATGCCGAATCGATAATGATCCCATCCATGTACCTCATTTAAAGGTACCATCGATTGTATCTGCTGCAGCACGTCTTTTTTGGCAACGACCACTTTTTTCTCCCTTCTTTCTGCCTTGGAGTCGTCGCGTTTTTTAGAATCACCTCTCACCATGGGTGGTGTCGAACTCTACGACAACAAACGCCGCTGATAAAATGCACCCTGTTGCGAATTAGCCATAAATCCTCGTCTGAAGAAAATGAAAACTGCTGGGTATCTAAACACCCTAAAAAAAGAAAAAAGAAAAATATATTTCCAGGATGAATAGACTTTTGTCTAATTAAAAACCTAAAGTCAGTATTTATCGACACAAAAAAAGAACTCACCGTATTTCGTGTCACCAATCAAATTCATACACATCGATACCGTGTCTTTCATACAGCAATCTTGAGACTGACAATCGACAAACGTTAGCTATCATCTTTAACCTTCCAATGATAAAGAGTCACCTAACCTAAATAACATCTCTACTCAATAAAGATCGTGACAGTCGCAAATGCAAAAATATGCAAAATGCATAGAAAATACGTAATTTTGAAAATTGATAATGGTTCCCAGTTTCAATCCCACGATGCATCTTTGATGGCGTCCAGCAGCCACCACTTAACCTCAACATTCCATTACGAACAGGATATTCTTACCGACGAACATAGTTCAGCAAACGTTCACCAGACTAGTAACAAATGGGTGGTTGTCATCTTGCGACAATACGCCGGAGACATTCGGCGGCATGCAAGCGGAATCGATGGCGGCTGCAGTTACGCTGGACGACGGTTTCGCAACGCTTCACGGAAGGTCGCCGACGTAAAGGATTGTCTGCTGCTCTAGGCCGTTGAAACGCAGGTGTTTTCCGACATGAACGTCGCGACAAGGCTGCCCACGATGCCTACGAACGTATATCCGGTTGCCCGCCTGGTGTTGCGACTTGCCTTTCGCAAGGCCGTCTCTCAACTAGTGCCAACAGCGCCACTGTAGAAAGCGACGATTCGTACA